TTGTTGCTGCAGTTTCTGCTGGTGATGTCCCATTGAATGCTGTTCAGGTTTAGTTTCTCTGCTCTCTTATCATTGATCAGTGGTGCGGATGCACACTTTGTGTGTTCGACCTCTATGTTCTGATGTTAATCATTTAGGTTTTGCCATTCACCTGTGCAGCTACTTTGGGTAAATCTTATTATGGACACCTTGGGTGCGCTTGCACTGGCCACAGAACCACCAACTGATCATCTAATGCGCCGAGCTCCTGTTGGTCGAAGGTTAGTTTGTAGATCTATATCTGAAAAAAAGAAGCTTGTTTCAACATTTTAATGGCAAAGATATTGTTTGTTTTGTCAAGTAACATTAGCTTGGCTGCACTACCATTTCTGCGTATTTGTAGTTTGACAGATGGGGTTGGCTTTTAGAGATAACTAATCCATCATGTGGCTGTGCAGTTGATTTCTTATAAGGAAATATTATTGATCTGTTAGATTTTTTTTCTTTCATGTCGTTTCGCATAATGTGTAGGAAGTGAACTTGTTTTGAAGCCGTGAGATACTTTTAAGTTGGTTTGAACATTCTCACTACATTCCTAACGTTAATGTGATTATACTCTAAGCTGGATTCTATACGTTTCTGACTCTTTCCACTTATGTTACTAGATTATAGAGACTTCTATATTGCCTCAATATCTTCTGCCATTCATTTTCATGCTTCGGTACTGATGTGCATCCTACTTGTATTAATAACATTTAGTGGTGGAATATGTTCAGTTGCAGCTCTAGCCAATGATTCCCCAAATGTATCAGCTTATTTTCAGCTTCTTTATGTATTACTAACCTATGTCCTCGTAGTTATAATGTTTCTCGTGCACAGCATCAATTGATTGTTTGTTTAATTCTATCTTAGGGAACCTCTCGTCACCAATATAATGTGGAGAAACCTATTAATACAGGTAAAAAGAATTTGATGGCTGATGTTCCAAAGTGATAAATATTCATTTTACATTAGTTTTGAGGTTGATATCTCCTGCTTGAACATCTGCAGGCTCTGTATCAAGTTACAGTTCTCCTAATCCTCAATTTCCGAGGTGAACAAATTCTTCATTTGGAGCATGAGACGAGGGAGCATGCTGTTAAAGTGAAGAATACCTTGATTTTCAATGCTTTTGTCCTGTGTCAGGTAAGAATAGCTGATAAAGAAACATGCTATGATTGGCTTTTGCACTCCCCATAGTATATTTTTCCTTTCTTACATAAGAAAGATATCTTGTTTGTACCTAGTGCGAACTCAAGCACGTCCTCTCCCCTAGGAATTGTCTTAGTTACATTTTTGGATTGTAGAAGTGTCCACTTTCCTTGAATCAGCAGGTCTAATACGTTTAATACCATAAAATTTTTAGCCGCCTCGCTTCTCCACCTTGTTATTTTTCTGTTATTGGCTATAAAAAAGTCAAAGCATCCATGTGTTTTCTCAACTAATATTAAACAATTCATAGTTTCAAATCTTCCCTTAATCGTGCCTGATCAAGGGTGGACAACCCAATTCGGATGGAAGGGGTAGTAATCTCTGCTCTCTTTTAGGATTTTGGTTGTGTTTTTGGAAATGATTCTCAAAATAAATATGAGGCAGCTTTTTCTCTTGAGCTCCTTCAATTTCCCCGTGTTCCTAACCTTTTCCTTATTTTTGGTTTTGTTCGGGCGATGGGGGCAAAAAGGGGCAAAAAGTCTGAAGCTGAAATTTCATACTGCTGTTTGTGACGAGGCACATTAGCTTAGATATTTGCCTGTCTACTGAGATTTAATCGCTGAATCCACTGCTAATGACTCGAAACTGCAGGTTTTCAATGAATTCAATGCTCGGAAGCCAGATGAGATAAATGTATTCAGAGGAGTCCACAAAAACCGTCTGTTCATTTCAATCATCGGCTTCACATTGGTGCTTCAGGTATATACCTCATCCCTATCCTTCTATTTGGCGTTGAACATCAACCTATCATATTAACAATATCTTTTTTTTTTTCCTTAGGTTATCATAATATTCTTTCTTGGAAAATTCGTTTCAACTGTGAGACTGAGTTGGCAATTGTGGCTTGTTTCAATAGTCATTGGACTTATAAGGTTAGTCTGGTCTTATCAACTGTCATTAATTGATCCAGTAATTTTTCTGGTACTAAGTGAAGTTGGTTTTACTCAACAGCTGGCCCCTTGCTGCTCTTGGGAAGTTGATACCTGTCCCTGAGAAGCCATTTGGGGACTACTTTTCCAAGAAATTACCGAGACGAAGAAATCAACAGGAGTGTTCATAGACATTTATACATACACGAATTTAACTAACAAGTGTCTCTGCGTTTTGTAAGGGTGGCGTTTCTTTTGCTACTGTACAGAAATTTGCCGCTAATATTTTACTAGTTGGGTCATTTTGTGAATGTAGTAGAACAGCATAAACATATATTTCTTGATTGCCTCTTTAAATTCGGATGTAGGCGCCTCTGCAGCAGATTCGAATTTTGCTGGTATGTACTCCACTTATGTTCTCGGAGGTTTAAAAAAAAAGCCTTTTCTGCTGTTCATATAACATGAGTTTATTCTGTTATACGAGGAATTGATTACATAGCAATTTGCTTTAGACGATAGACCCACCAACGTTTGGCTATGTATTCCAATTTATCTTCAAGGTTGCACTTGATTATATCATATCATTAATTTTAAGATAGCACAAGCAAGCACATCAGCAAGCACTAATACGAGGATACAGGCCCCAAAATAGCATTACCCATATGTGATTTTTTCATCGTCTTTGACGGAGGATAGCTATTTATCCTCATTTCTTCATATTCTCGGTCAATGAATATTTAAAAATCGACTAAACCGTATCGTATTGAATTGAGTTTTAGGTTTCTTTTTAATAAAAATGTAGGTTTTTATATAGATTTATAATCGTACCGATAATTCAGTTAAGTTTTTTTAATTTTATGAAAATAAAATGAAAAAATATCGAACCGTACCAAATAAATTTATATGTGAAAATATATTATGTAGTAATTAAACAAAATGAAACATTAAATTTCTTCTTAAATTTTGGAATTATGAAAACAATTACAATTCAACAAGTAATTAAAACTAAAAATTCTAATTCCCAAATGTATTATGCTACTTCTATTGAAACCAAAATTATTTCCACCATAATCACTAGCAAGCCACAAGGTATTCTACTATTCTGGTGATTATGAGAAGTAAACTACAAAGTATTGAATATGTTTCTTTCGTATGATTTAGATTTATCCTTTTGGATATTTAATCTTCTATAGAGTTTATGTTGAGTCCCAGCTTGGTTAATATCTGTTCACTCCTGTGATTATATTTTCTTTATCTTTGCTTGATTTCTTTTATGCTGCTGCAGAATAGTTGATTGATCTATACGTTGGCCGTCTTTCATTTTTTTTAATTCATCACCCTTTAAACAGTAAAAATATTTAGAGAATTTTGTTAAGTCGTATAAAATTACGTATTTTATTGCATTTTACTTTTACTATAGACTTTTACATGACATTTTAAAAAATACCGAAAATTAATCGAACCGTACTCATATCGAAGAGAAACCGATATGATTGAGTTGGTTTCGAAAAGTCTAATTTTGGTTATACATAATAGAATAACCGAAAAATAGGTATGGTACAAATTTTATAAAATAAGCAACCGAACAGAACTATTGACGCCCCTACTCTCGAATTTGCAACTTGAACAAAAAATTGAGATTTTCCTATAGACAGTAGGCCTAACACGACAGGAAATATCATCTTATTTGTGTATACATAGGGGAAGTCCGTCGTATTTTAGTGATAACCTTTATGGAATTCTGAGACTTGGTAAGATAACCTTTGCTCCGAATAGGGTTAGGAGCAAAGGCGCCTCAAAAAATCATTTAACATTATTTATGGAAACAACGAAACAGTAAGCCCAATTTTGTGTATTTCTAGGTGGCATTTAAAATCTTTTGTTGTCTACCAAACCTAGTGGTACTTGTGAATACATAGGGGAAGTCCGTCGTAACTAAATTCAAATAAGATCCGTTATACCTTGTGATTTAGAACAATATTAAAGCCATACATGGTACAACGAACGGTGCAAAGGGCTAGGAACAGTTAAGATAATTTTCTGGTACAGATCGTTGTTGCTACCACTGAAAATACATCAATTACAAAGATTTTCATATAGAAGACAGTGAAAATGATGCATAGCTTTCTCGACTTGTGGTGCATACCGGCCAGAGTTGTACGCGGGTGATTCGAGGCCTCGTTGTACAGCTTCACATAATTTTATATCCTCCATCTGCAAATTGTAGACAGCAAAATTAGAACCAACACTTGTGACTGTGTACGATCGGATACATATAGTCGCATATATGCATTGACATGCCAGTAACAAAGCTGATCGGAATATTTTACATGTTTTTACTATACCTGCACTGTCTCACTATCTTGGAGACTCTGTGCGATAAAACTCTCGTCACCCTGTGAACAAATAAAGAATCAATTGCTGGAAGTAGTAATTTGATCTTTAAGTAAGAAAACAAAGACTTGGACACACCATAACTTTGAATTATGATTCCTTTCCTTTTCTATCACGTAAAAGTACGCCGTACACCAGTAACATATGGAACACAATGAAGATAAATATTAGAATATAACTATATAGGAAGTCTCCATAAGGATTCACTTCAAGCTTTGAACTTAACTGGATATGCTAGAGATGTGTTTCTTTTTGGTTCAAATACCACGCCACCAACAGACGATCTTGGCTTCTCCTTACAATTGCAAAATCCACTTCATACTAACCTCTGAGCAGCCGACACTCCTTTCCCTGGCTCCACACCCCCCACCCCCCCGGGTACCCAAAAAGATCTTCCATGAAGAGAAAATGGCATTTCAGTAGTGGAGGATCTTCAGGCTTAATAAAGGCATAAAAAGGGTAGCCCGATGCATTAAGCTCCCGCTATGCGCAGGGTCCGGAGAAGGGTCGGACCACAAGAGTCTATTGTATGCAGCCTTACCTTGCATTTCTACAAGAAACTGTTTCCATGGCTCGAACCCGTGACCTCCTGATCACATGGCAACAACTTTACTCCCCCCCTTCCCCCCTTCACGCCTAATAAAGGCATAGCTAGACATAAACGAACAAAAATCCGTAAAAATGCAGTCTAAGATCCACCAAATTAGAAATTATAACACTTAGGCCTCCTAAAAGAAATTGGTGCCAAACCAAAACCTAGACACCATACACTAAATCAGTCTAGTACCAGATGTCAAGTTTTGATCCCAGAAGGAATGCATAACAGGAAATGTCTTCCTGATCATCTCCTTGATAGATAGCTTTTTCTCTCCTAACGTCTAAATTCAACTTAGTAATTTCACGATCTTATCTTGTTGAGCACAACAATTTTATCACCACCAGTGTGAAAATTAACCGAGGAAGTTAAACAATTCAGTGCCTCCAGAGTACTTAGGAAAGAACTGAGGAAGAGCGGTGCGAGAGATGCATATAGAAATTAAACACACGTTACATAGAATGAATTTACATTTACCTTGAGAGATGCATCAAGAAAGTAGTCAAATATCACTAGACATTTCCGTGGTCCTTGAGGCAGTACGAGATTCGTGTCCATCCAAGGACCATACCTATGTGCTCCACAGATTAGTTTTACAAGAATTACCAGTCATGAAAAAGCTGAAGCGAAACCAGCCGGTTTATCTATATATGAAGCACCAACCTGTTGATCATGAAGTTTGGATACACAAATGCATATAAAGCTTTTGATCCAAGTCGATCAAATTCTTGGTCCTTTTCTGCACTACCAGTTTCACATCGTTGGATGCTCACTTTCTCAAGTATCTGCTTCATTATTAATAGTTGCATGCAACAACAACAGACATCCACTTAAACAGTAGCTCTTGTGGAAATTGGATTCAGAGGAAAATTAAGAATGAATACAACTCAAAGTTAGAAAATGGTGTTGAGCATACCGTGGTAGAATACGAGTCAAGCGTCAGACCAGAAGCAAGACTTTTATGAGCATATGGTACATGATAACCGCCATCCAAGTAGTTGTCACAGAACACCTACAACAGAACACACTGGTAATTAGAAAAGGACCGATTTATTTTGGACCAATGAACAGATCTAACCGTAACGTTAGAACTGACCTTCCAGTTACACTCAATGGTGTATTCGCGTCTACATAAAAAACTTAATGAAGAATCGACTCCACCATCCGCCAAGATTTGGGATGAAGTACCCAGCCATTCGTTTCCAACCAAGTCAAAATCAGATTCTTGTTCATACAAAACTCCATTTTCAAAATTGAGAAGTATGAACGGCCCCCATACAGCTACTTTCATTGGAACTAGTCCCATCTCCTATCCTTCATATAGAAAAACATAACAGACCAAATCACCCCCACATTTAAGTATTGACCATTAAATGACAATGTGGTTATTCAATATATGTTTAATACGTTCACTTTGAAGTTCTTGATTCCAGTTATTCTAGTTGCCTTAAGAAGCGTTCCGTCCAATCCATATGTCCACCCCTGCAAAAGGAAGAGCGGTAAAATAAAATTATATTTGATGGTATTTCCTCCACTATGTCTAAAGTTGTATCATATGCTATACCGAACAAATATTAAGATAATAATATCTCTGGGATGCATGTTAAGAAGCTAATAGCTAAGTACATAAAGGAAGCAAGAAGACATACTAAATTGACAAGAGGCAAAAACATAAAGGGCAGCCAGGTGCAGCAATAACCCAACATGTAATCACATTTACTGAAAGAACAATTAATGATAAGACCAAGAGAAAACTGATGGTGAAGTAAGACTTCAAATCGCATTATGTACTGAGAAAAGAAAACTGAAATCAGCTCAAAGCAATTAAAAACTCACATGGTATGGGCAAACAAAGCAAGATCTTTTCCCACTTCCCGAGGCAAGAAGAGAGGCGTGATGCCGGCACACGTTATGAAAAGCATGTATTTTTCCACCATCATCTCGACATACAACATACTCGACATTGCCCAATCTGTATTTTAACTATTAGCTACTTGAATAAAATAGACAGGTACATCTCAAGATTAACCAGACCGAAAGCTCGTTATTCCTTTCGCTTGCATTTAAGCGAAAGCTTTTGATATGAATCAGTTGCAACTAACAAATACCGATGGCATAGTATAATGAAATTTACGGCATAACAGTACCTTCCGGTGAAATATTGGCTTGGCTCTTTGATCTGTTCGGTGTACCCTGAAAATCGCAAAAGAATTGCAGCAAATTCACATTCAGAAAGCGGATCACTTAATACTCTCTTACCAAGAATTGGTAAAATCAATACTACTACTAGATAAATAAACAAGAACCTGCATTACACTCTCGTTTTACTTGTCCTGTAGTCAATACAATTACCATAGTTTTGTACCCCATAACTAGGTTCTTACCAATGCGTCTACGCAATAGCAAATTAGGCAAGTTGAGCTCAAATTGAGCTTTGCAAACTAAACTTTATCAATACTAATTGTGCCTCAAAAAAGCTCCCCTAGCACTATTGGCAAATTACTTCAACAAAGTTCCACTAA